GCAGACATGTTGAATGTCTTGTTGGTACTTCATCAGTGCAGACATGTCTTGTTGGTACTTCATCAGGTCCCTCTTGTAAATGAGTCCTCGTGGCTCAGTGAGACTAACGTGTATAACTAAAGGTTGAGTGAATAAAACTCAACCTCGGTTTATACTTCTCTGTTCCAATCCGTTCATCCGTTCATATTTTCTTACAAAAATAAAGTTTTAACAACTATTGCGCAATATGTAAAGAAACGTGTGAAAATACAGAGAAAGTAGAGGATGTGCTTAGTTTGGCTAAAGATCCTCCTAAAACTTGTTTTCCTCATATAATTTACAGTTCAGTCTCTATTTCCAGTTATTTCGGCACACGATCAAAGTTTGACAGTGACCTGCGAAGGATAAGTCAAGACGGAGAACAAAATGGTGAAAACGGCTCCATGTTTGTTTCTGGGCACAGTAATCCTGAACATGCACAGAATGTGCTGCTGCGTTGAAAGGCGTTCTAAAAGAACAGTTTTTACCTCATCAGTAACTGTTGGTGTGTGTGGGAGGTGCGCACGTGTCCGTAAGTCATTGATTTAAAAAATGTGCAAGTCCTTTGGATTTATCTTGTTTGATTTAATCCGTCTCATCCCTGTCAAATTGTTTGCTCCTCATCCTCAGTGCTCTCAGAACACGGGTTCTTACAGTTTCTCTAAATTTGAGGCTAGTCTGGACTTTGGGGCATCTAGATAGAAGAAGATTTGGATTTTTCTACCTGGATTATTGAGCATGCATCAGGATATCTAGATAGAAGATTATTCTGTGCCTTCTTAAAATACAACCATTTCGTGTGGTTGAAGGTTTGGTACGGCCGCCTCTGACTTTAAAATGAACACCGAAGTGAAAGGGTTTGTGTATTAGAGCTGGACGGCAAGCTATAAGCCTTTGCAAACAAGAAGTGAATAGTAAATGAATAATGTAAAATACTTGATACAACAAAAATTGCACAAATTAGCTGACATTCTGGCAGAGTGACCAAAACAACACATATTCTAGACAAAAAATTATTTAAATATTTGTATGGAAAGTTTCCATAATCACACAAATTCCCAGATTGCTGTCAAAAACCGCGCTTCCTTTCTTTACACCCTTCCTCCGTCTAAACATTCACACCGTGGGTCTGGGCAGGCGTAAGGTTTGGCTGTCCTCGTGTCACCCCTTACGATGTCCGCTGTTGACTTCCAGCAGGCAGAGACGTGCAAGACAGCAGGAGGAAGCAGAACACTGGATCAGCTCCAAGTCCACACATCGCCATCACATGGGGACATCTACTGAAAAGAAAAGGTCCAAGCTAAAAGGAAGTTCTAGATCAACCACGTAATACATTTTGACCACCAGTAAAAGTGCCCTGGTTTATCCAAGCATAGATTCCTCAATAGATCTCAAGATCTTGGTACCTGGCATCAATCCATGTGTGGTACTTTGGGGAAATTTGGTTGCCAAGTAAACACAGCACAAGTGTATTGTTGCAGTTTGGCAGGCTACACTGTTCTGCTGAAAGAACAATGGTGTTTCCACGAGGAGGTGTGCTTCAATAGCAATCGTTAAGTAGAGTGTAAATGTTCTAGTAACGTCCAAAGGAATGGCCAGAACAAATGTTTTCCAGTAGAACATTGCCCAAAACATCTTCTGCCTCTTCAGACTGCATTCTTTCTGAGGTTCAACCCAAGAAAACGTGACTACAGCCCAGTTCAACCTTTGGTTGGTGATATTCTTAGGAGTGGATCAGACAAGGGGACAAACCTGGTGCCTGTAGTGGGGGTGGGGTCTGTTGTCAGCATATTATACTGTTGGTAGATACTGAGACAGTGTCCAACATTAGAAGTGACTAGTTTGAACGTAGATTAGTCTCCTTTGTCCATGGGAAAGATTTTCCTGTCGTCTATCTTGATTGTGATTGGCCAGATGACTCGTGTTCCACCAAAGATGTTCGATTGGAGACAGAAACTGGCACGTTCATGTCCCGACTCAGCTCGAACGGTCCCACCAGAGGAGCAGGGACAAAAAAACTCTTGACTCTAGATGATTCACGTACATGACATTTTGTTTGAAATCAATGAATTTCGCTGAGAAGCAACAAGTTTGTCTGTATACAGGTGAATGTGTTAGACATCTTTATTTCTGAACCACAGGTAATCAAGGCCAACCCGTGTTCACTAGAAACATCAACTAGCCTTAACTACCAAGATCTTCCAGGAATAATGAAAGAACGTAATACAGCTGTGTTGTTTGGCTCGGGTTAAATTTACTTGTGTTCAGTTCGTAGCATTGATTTTGTGGAATAAATGGACATGTTGAAGCATCGCACCTAACGGAGATCACTGAAGGATCTGGGACGAGGTGGGAGCTGAGCTACATTAGAAGGAATCCATACACTGAAATACTTGTGGACTTTTATGAATGTGGGGAGTATATGAACATAAAATGCTGTAATTGTTTACAATATCAGCAGCTCTTTAAATGTCTACTTGTAATTGGTATAGGGTTTAAACTCCAGGAGTCAGTCCTGCAAAGAAGTGCAGAGCTGTCAAGAGTGCGGAGCTATTCTCAGTTCTGCGACGATGGAAACTATTCCTGTACCGTGATGCTGGAGGAGTTACGGGCTTGTCTTCCTTCGAGTCTGACGCTTGGGTTTTTTTGCACGTACGTGTTAGAGCAATAAAAACTATTGAGCATTCGTATATGAAGCTGCTCCCAATACGACGTCATGGGAACTTTCCTGACACGGCACATTTTAAATAATCGTACACTTATTTTTGTGACGCATGATTGCAAGCTGAGTCACAATGAGGAACTTCTCAATATTGACTTATTTTACTCATCAAACCTCCATTTGAAAAGATTTAATTTAATACGTAGTTTGTCATTTATTTCCCAACAGAGGCAACAGCTCTACCAACTGATCCACTGTGCCGCCAAACTTTATGATTAAAAACATTATACAGGATTTCCTGGTTCTGACAACCAGCAGCGAAAAATGGTCAATAAAAAAAACGGATAATTTCTCTTAGAAAACTTCAATTCAATTTCGATTTGGAAGGTTGTGCCATGTTAGGATCGAGTGATGCCGTTATGGACTTATTTTTACCCAAATCTTAGTATTGATAATTAGTATCTTGGGTCACATTTCTAATAATATTTGCAGATTGAAGAATCCCCCTATTGAACACAAAACGTGCACAGAATTCAACCATTTATTTGAATCCAACAATGTTCAGTCAGGCCATCTGGACAGTTTTTTTTTAGAGAGACGTTTCACCCTTCATCCGAAGAGCTTCAAGACCGATGCCCAACCCTGACTGAACATCGTTGGATTTTTTACCTGATTATTGAGCATGAGCCTTGATTCATTTATTTGAATGTGCTTTTGTGCTATGATTCTAGATCAAAAAGTAGTCAAATAAGCATATTACATATAAATTATGTTGAAGTTAAGCATTAAGTCCATCTTAACATGTAATATGTACTATTACACTTCAGCAACCATTTGCCTGTTAATGGCACTCCAATCTTTCAACAGCTTTTTCCAGCATTTTCACTAAAGTCTTGCCACATAAATGGGCCAGAGAGATGGCCTGGTTGTTTAGTTATATTTAGTCACACAGGAACTCATTGGCCTTTTTTGAGTGCCGGTCTAGTTGCTTTTCAAAGGTTTTATCTAACATGTTGCTGCTGTCATAGAAACAAAATAACTGATTCACAGACAGTCAGGTGTAGACTTCATCAAACATTTTATTTGCCGGCAAATGAGTGAACAGTCAATTTGCCTGTTCTGCTGGCATCAGTTCTGAGCTGTCTCTACCTTATTTGTTTCTGTAAGGTTGGAAATGGTATATATGTGTCAGTGCCTCTTTCCTGTGGGGTCCCACAGGGCTCAATTCTTGGACTCCTTCTGTTTTCATTGTATCTGCTCCCCTTGGAGGAGAGGCAAACAACCATGTATCCTGAGGAAACGGTCTTTCGTAAGCACTTTGGTAACAGCTGCTGTTTTCAATGTGCTTTATAAATAAAATTGACTTGACTTATTAAGTTACATGAGTTGTCTAAACAAACACACAGATTGAGAGAAAATTACTTGAAGGGTGATAAGCATATCTGCTAACCTACATAGATTGCTCCAACCTATATAGATGGTCACAAAATGACCATCATCAAACTTGACATAATGTTCAGTTTCACAATGACATACAGACAAATGTACAGGAAAATATTGTACAATACATATTACTAACTATCGACCAGTCTCTAAGCTCCACATTTTAGCTAAGGTTCTTGGATTATTTTAACATCTTACCTTCCCATCAATCTGGTTTCAGGAAACAACATAACAATGTCATTGAAGCACTGGATGCTAAGGATTA